TGCAAATGTAGTTTCAAAATCTTAATAAAGCACTAGCGTGACTGCTTAAGTTAAAAAAAAAAAAAAAAAAAAAAAAAAAAAAAAAAATATAAATAAAATACTAATAAATAGTTAAATATATAAAATTCTAATGGGTACTATAGTGAAATAGATCCTACTAAGCAAATTATCTTAAAAATTAATCTTAAAAAGTCATGTAACTAGCTAAACTATGTAGTTGAGAACCTGTAATTACAAATATTTATACATATTAATAAAGTAACTAGACTAAGAGATTGCTTTAAAAAACAAAAACAAATATCAGTCTCTGTTTTTTATTCGTTTTTTACTCATATTTTCTTCTTTTTCAGGCCTTTGCTTCACTGGACCGGATTCGCAATTTAACATCCCTAGGCGTTAGAGTTATTGATGGCTGTTTTTTAAAAGAATGTGATTTTCACGTTGGTCTATTGACGGTCAATTATTTGAAAAATTTGATTAGTGCACCCAACATTCTGGTAAAATGCTCTTAATTAATACACTTTGAGGAAAATTGAGACATGTTTAATCAATAAAAATTTTGGATTTTCAACTTTTTTTTTAGATAATTTAAAATTCTATTAATAACTTCTTAACAAATAGCATATTTAGTTCATGAAAATACAAGTATTTATAGCTGATTCTAGTAAAGAACGTTACAATAATATAAATCTACCATTTAGATGTCTGCATCACATTGTACAGTGTGCAATTACATAGCCTCATTCATAATGTCGAAAGCCTTTCTATAAACATCAAGCATAGTTTTACAGTTTTGTCTTTTGCTTGCCAAATTTTCATCCTCCTGCAATAAATCTACAAATAGTTCTTCTTTATATAATTCGGATACTAATCGATTTTGGACTGATTCACGAGAATTATTGACCAAAAGATGCATAATAGCCTTCGGTACAAGGTCTTGAATTGTTTTGCGCACAATATTGAAATAAGATGATATCAGAGTTCCTTTGTTAAGATGTTATAAATATAAAAATATTGCTATTAATATTACTCGCGTTCTATTAGAATATGATATAAATTATAATGTATACATACGTATCAACTGTATCTCCATTTCTTCATGATCGGTCAGATGAATGCCATCATCGATAATCGCACCCTTCAAAATTAAAAGGGTGTCATCTTTTACATCATGAAAAAAAATGTTAGAAAAAAAATGCTCATGTGTATCATACATTATCTAATTTTTTTTCCAATTCACCCATGTCTATTCCGGTCTTAGCGAATGTACCATTTCTATTAGGTAATGGTTGATCTGGTAATACCGTTCTATCACTTTTATTACCACTCCCAAAGAAATACGTCAAAAAGGATTCACGCTGTGAGGAATTATTGCCGATGCCATTCGGTAGGCCTATATCTTTAGAACCGCTAGATTCTTTATCTGAAAGTGATGAACCATCCTGGATATCATTACTGGAAATTGCTGGCCCACTCAATGTAGTAATATGTGTAGTATTACCACTCATGTTCGCCTATTTGAACATAACGTCAAAAAACGTACAACAAAATGATAAATATACTCTCTTTCTCTTTCCCTTACCCGTCTATTAAGCTTCTCGAATTCTCTCCTCTTTTTTTCACTTTTTTTTACGAGATCTGACATGGCTCCTGCACCTCCAATGAAATCCGGATGATTGGTGTTGACATATGCGCGTTGAATACTTATTAAACTTTCCACGTAAGACGTAGTAGGGTTGAGTCTTTCACGAAGTAATTCAGAAACAACTTCTATAAGTTTGGCATGTAACCGTGGGTAACGGCTAAGTTCCTAACGTAATATAATTATTTTTTAGTTATATAAAAATAATTGTCGCGACTGAATTTGGAAACGGTTGAAGCTGGAAACTTGAACATTTTTAATATGAAATTTTTTAGTTTTATTCTTAATAATTAGGTTAGTATTTAGAGTTAGTTTTGATAATAAAAGAATATAAATGGATTTTAGTAGTGTATATTTCATATAATTTTCAGCTTCAGCCGCGACAATAATTTTTTAACGTTATAACCAAACAATACCTTATTTCCACAACTATGACATATCTTAGCCAACTCTTCATGCACAAGTTCAACACATCTCAAACTTGGCTGTTCGAGTAAAAGTATCTGGGGTTTAACCAAAAGATCAAATGCAATTTCCGGTACGAATAAGGATGGCCTTGGACCAGTAGAATTTCGAATAGCAGTTCGAATATCTTGTACTGAAAGATTGCCACATGGACTAATGGATTGCAACGCTGCGCCAAATATATTATTGAAAATATAATATATCCTTGCGCCGCCACATCTATGAATTTCAAAAAGACATATTACAGACAGTAAGTACAATAATTGATTTAAAAATATGGTCACTTGTACAATAATTTATCACGTACAACTCTTTTGTCGATACATCTAATGCGGTACCATCAATCGATGAAGTGAAATCATTTGAGAATTTAGTAATTAATTTCAATACGAGTGCTCCCTGTACGAGTAAAAAGAGGCATGTGTCAGATATAAAAAATTTTGCATCATAGGAAAATTATTGATGAAAATAAACCATTAAATGACTCACTTTATTAGTCTTTTCGTCAAGTACAGGATCTCCATAAGACAAGAGTTCTTGCGTAGTTTGACTGATGAGAGTGTTAATCCTAGCTTTCATATCCGGTAATCTTTCCCGTATATGATTCATAAGAATCTTAATTCAAAGTAAGTTACATGACACGTGCGACCAACAAAATTGTGTTGGCTTTATTTATTCGGAACAAAGAATATCGATTCGTTTAATGAATACCCAATTTTGAAATAACATCCAAATACCTACATGATTCAGAATTTTCGCTAAAAAAGGTGTCCCACATCTCGAAGCGATGCTTCGATATGCTGAATGTCGTTTAAAAAATTCACTTTCAGCCTTCAAAGCTTCAGTCATAGGTTTATGACCTATTATGTCTTGTTGACTACGATTTACAACCCCAATAAAGCCCAGCTTGAGAGGTATAACGCGACCAGTAAGAACATCTAACGCATTTGTACCAGCATCCATAAGATCTAATTTAGTTAGAACTCCGATAGTTCTTTTGCCTACATGAATCAATTTCATTATTATCTTATGATAGCATTTGTTGGTACTTTTTATTTTTAGAGTATACCTAACCTTCTGTATCAACTTGTTTTGCAAGTTTGAGACTTTCAGAATTTACCAGGTCAACATTTGCAGGGCTTACAGCTAAAATAATACTTTTATTTTGATCATGAAGATTTTAGTTTTGACCGAAATTTAAGAATTGGTGTTTATCGAATCCGGGGATAAATTAATGATATTTAAATATACCTATTCGGCTTTGTTATGTAGTCAAGAACTAAACTTCGGGTTTGTTTTTCAATGTCTGTAGGCTGATCCCCTAAAAATGAGCCATTTAATTTGATATATTAAATTCAAAACATCATTATAAGTAAACAATAACTATACATACCAATGGGAATCTAAGCGCGTCGTATGCAACAAAACACAAAGTTGAGATTAAAAATTAACTATAATTATTTATAAAGAAGTCTATTACCTTTGTTAGACCAGGAAGATCAACCAAAGTTAAATTAAGCACATTTGGCGAAAATATTTTCAAATGAATTGGAGACCTCGATATTCCCTTGTTTTGCCCTGCAACTCTTGCCGTTTCAGCTTCAATTTCCTTTCTTATCTCTGAGAAGTCAGTAAACTTACGATCCGACATGTGCAAAAACTCTCCATATTCCACAGCTTTTGAATCTTCAGAATCTTGAATATTAACGAGCTGAAGCACTAACGGTCTACGGGTGACAATTCCACTACCACGAGGTAAAAAATCCCGCTGAACAATGTTCTCAAGAACAGAAGACTTTCCAGAAGATTGAGATCCAACAACGATGATTTGCGGTAGATCTACTGTGTCGCTACCAATTGTGTTAAAAACATCTTGGAGTTTGTTGACTATAGGGATTAAATCATTCATCATATTACACTTGGACAAATCGCAATATACAATAGTAATAATATAACAAATGCTGATTAAAGAACGCCGATTTATGAGGCAAGCGTCCTACTACACCCTCCAGAAAAAAAAAAAAAAATTGAAAGAGAAAAAATAGAAAAAATAGAGATATTTTAGTACAGCACCATCATTGTTATTTGATCACAAATCTTAGTCTGACGTATACGTACAACATCAGCTTTGGATTAGTTTGATATAGCAATGGGATCTATTGATTATTACGTATACTTAGTCACGTATATGGTAGTAAAGAGTTTTTTTTTACTCTATTTGCGAGATTACTTTATTAGTTTATATTTTCCAAGTTGCGGTTTTTAGTTCTACGAATTGTATAGATTTTTTAAAATGAGTCCTTGTTCTTGAAATTAATAGGTATCATGCTGTAAAATTTAGTTCTTTTTAAATTCAACCCGGTGCATCTTCGGAATAGATTAGTGCAAAATTATTATAGAAAGTATAGATATTTTCTATACATAGCGATAGCAAATTTTAACCAAGTTGGTTAGAATTATAGAAGAATTAGATATGGGATATCGATATTATTTGTCATGTTCTATGATTGGTCACACCCCAGTGCCAGCTATATATGCTGGACAAATCCCAAACCCCTAAAAAATAAGAAATTTTTGAGCTATGAATTTGGCCAGACCCCTTGGATTTGTCCACTTTAAGTAAACTTAAAGTGGACAAACTTAAAGATTCATAGCTCAAAAATTTTATTAATAATCATTGTTTAAATAAATCAAGTATATTCTTATAGCTATAGAGAATATATTTATAAAATTTT